GTGGATTGAAGGGGAGGAAGAGATAAATGCCCATATCAGAGATTATTTCCAGACTCTGTTTAACACATAGGGGGATAGAAACTAGTCCGAGGCTCTGAGTGCAGTACAATACAAAATTACTGTGGAGATGAACCTTAACTTGTTGAGACCTATTTCGGAGATGAAGGTGCAAGAGGCAGTCAGGGAGTTGGAGGCATTAAAATCTCCTGGACCAGATGAATTCCCAGGTCTATTTTTTCATAGATTCTGGCATATTGTGGGTCATGATGTTTTCAAAGTGGTTAAGGAATTTTTTGAAGGGGGCCAGATGAATCGGGAAATCAATATCACTAATGTGGTCCTAATTTCGAAGGAAAATGCCCCTGAGTCTATCATATAGTTTAGGCCAATAGCGCTATGTAACTTCTTATATAAGGCGATTTCTAAAGTGATGGCTAATAGGATGAAAGGACTGATGGGTTCTATTATTTCTCCAAACCAAGCTGCCTTCATTCCAAATCGATAAATCCAAGACAACATAGCTATAGCAAATGAGGTCTTCCACCACCTGAAAGGAAAGAAGAGAGGCAGAGTCCAGATATCGCCATTAAAATGGACATTAGTAAGGCTTATGACAGAGTTGAGTGGGATTTTTTGGAAGCAACCATGATTAAGCTGGCATTTGATCGCTATTGGGTTCATCTTATTATGCAGTGTATCAGCACTGTTACACTTCAGTTTGTTCTGAATGGTGAGAGAATTGGGGTAATTACACCTCAGAGGGGGATTAGACAAGGTGACTCAGTATCTCTATACTTGTTTATCTTTGTTGCTGATGTTCTCTCAGCCATGCTTTTGAATGGGGTTAAGGAAAGGAAATTGATGGGGATTAAAATTAAACGTAGAAGCCCTGCTATCTCCCACCTCTTCTTTGTTGATGATTCTTTATTCTTTCTCAAAGCCAAAGAGAAGGGAATTAGGGAGCTATTGAGGATTCTATAGAGTTATTGTGTGGCATCAGGTTAATGTGCAAACTACCAAAAATCTGGGATTATTTTTTCTAGCAATACATCTGAGGATCAAAGGTTGTTTTATAGCCAACTCATGGGAATGCAAGCCCTCCCACATTGCGCAAAGTACCTGGACATTTGTACTACCAAGGGAAGATCTAGAAATGAGGTTTTCGGGTATCTACTTGAAAGAGTGGCGGAGAAGTTACTAGGATGGAAGAGTTGCTGCCTCTTACAGGCAGAAAATAAGGTTTTGGTTAAGGCTATAATCCAGGCTATTCCAAAATATGCCATGTCAGTGGTGGAGCCTCTTAAGAACTTCTATGATAAGCTGAACAAATATGTAAGCAGATTTTGGTGGAAAGGAAGAGAAGACAAAAAAGGTATATGTTGGAGGAGTTGGGATAAAATGACTGTATCAAAGTCATTTGGGGGGATGCGGTTTAAAGATTGCAAGTTGTTTAACCAAGCTCTTTTAGAGAAGTAGTGTTGGAGGCTAATCCGTTAGGCGGAGTCGTTCTGGGCAAAATTTATGAAGGTGATCTATTTCCCAAATGATGACCTGATGAAGGCGAAACGTGGAGCGAGACCCTCATGGGTTTGGACTAGTCTGCTATATGGGAGGGAACTTCTTGAAAAGGTCTTATGTGGCAAATTGGCAACAGCAATGATGTGTGTTTTTGGAGTGACAAATGAGTAACTCTTTTTCCAAATCTGGCTATCCAATCCTCGAAGCCTCTGGAGTGCCCCATTTCAAGGGTGGCAGATATTATTAAGGATAACCCCAAGGTTGGAAAACTTCTNCGGAATCATAACCAAATCCTTAGACTAAAATCTGAAGATGCTGAGTGGATTGAAGGGGAGGAAGAGATAAATGCCCATATCAGAGATTATTTCCAGACTCTGTTTAACACATAAGGGGATAGAAACTAGTCTGAGGCTCTGAGTGCAGTACAATACAAAATTACTGTGGAGATGAACCTTAACTTGTTNAGCCAAGCTCTTTTAGAGAAGTAGTGTTGGAGGCTAATCCATTAGGCGGAGTCGTTCTGGGCAAAATTTATGAAGCAATCTATTTCCCAAATGATGACTTGATGAAGGCGAAACGTGGAGCGAGACCCTCATGGGTTTGGACTAGTCTGCTATATGGGAGGGAACTTCTTGAAAAGGTCTTATGTGGCAAATTGGCAACAGCAATGNTGAGGGAGTTGGAGGCATTAAAATCTCCTGGACCAGATGAATTACCAGGTCTATTTTTTCATAGATTCTAGCATATTGTGGGTCATGATGTTTTCAAAGTGGTTAAGGAATTTTTTGAAGGGGGCCAGATGAATCGGGAANAAGTGTGTTGCAACGTCTATGTGCCAGATCTGTAAGTTAGCCCCAGAGTCAATTGAGCATACTCTATTTGAATGTGAATGTACCAAGAGGGTCTGATATGGTATTTATCTTCCTATATAGAGGGAAGACTCTGCCTTTATGTTTGTGACCCAAAGATCCTCNCCAGATGAATCGGGAAATCAATATCACTAATGTGGTCCTAATTTCGAAGGAAAATGCCCCTGAGTCTATCATATAGTTTAGGCCAATAGCGCTATGTAACTTCTTATATAAGGCGATTTCTAAAGTGATGGCTAATAGGATGAAAGGACTGATGGGTTCTATTATTTCTCCAAACCAAGCTGCCTTCATTCCAAATCGATAAATCCAAGACAACATAGCTATAGCAAATGAGGTCTTCCACCACCTGAAAGGAAAGAAGAGAGGCAGAGTCCAGATATCGCCATTAAAATGGACATTAGTAAGGCTTATGACAGAGTTGAGTGGGATTTTTTGGAAGCAACCATGATTAAGCTGGCATTTGATCGCTGTTGGGTTCATCTTATTATGCAGTGTATCAGCACTGTTACACTTCAGTTTGTTCTGAATGGTGAGAGAATTAGGGTAATTACGCCTCAGAGGGGGATTAGACAAGGTGACTCAGTATCTCTATACTTGTTTATCTTTGTTGCTGATGTTCTCTCAGCCATGCTTTTGAATGGGGTTAAGGAAAGGAAATTGATGAGGATTAAAATTAAACGTAGAAGCCCTGCTATCTCCCACCTCTTCTTTGTTGATGATTCTTTATTCTTTCTCAAAGCCAAAGAGAAGGGAATTAGGGAGCTATTGAGGATTCTATAGAGTTATTGTGTGGCATCAGGTTAATGTGCAAACTACCAAAAATCTGGGATTATTTTTTCTAGCAATACATCTGAGGATCAAAGGTTGTTTTATAGCCAACTCATGGGAATGCAAGCCCTCCCACATTGCGCAAAGTACCTGGACATTTGTACTACCAAGGGAAGATCTAGAAATGAGGTTTTCGGGTATCTACTTGAAAGAGTGGCGGAGAAGTTACTAGGATGGAAGAGTTGCTGCCTCTTACAGGCAGAAAATAAGGTTTTGGTTAAGGCTATAATCCAGGCTATTCCAAAATATGCCATGTCAGTGGTGGAGCCTCTTAAGAACTTCTATGATAAGCTGAACAAATATGTAAGCAGATTTTGGTGGAAAGGAAGAGAAGACAAAAAAGGTATATGTTGGAGGAGTTGGGATAAAATGACTGTATCAAAGTCATTTGGGGGGATGCGGTTTAAAGATTGCAAGTTGTTTAACCAAGCTCTTTTAGAGAAGTAGTGTTGGAGGCTAATCCGTTAGGCGGAGTCGTTCTGGGCAAAATTTATGAAGGTGATCTATTTCCCAAATGATGACCTGATGAAGGCGAAACGTGGAGCGAGACCCTCATGGGTTTGGACTAGTCTGCTATATGGGAGGGAACTTCTTGAAAAGGTCTTATGTGGCAAATTGGCAACAGCAATGATGTGTGTTTTTGGAGTGACAAATGAGTAACTCTTTTTCCAAATCTGGCTATCCAATCCTCGAAGCCTCTGGAGTGCCCCATTTCAAGGGTGGCAGATATTATTAAGGATAACCCCAAGGTTGGAAAACTTCTAATCTGGGCTCTGTTATCTCTAGGGGGAGTTAAATGCAATCCATGCTATTCTTCTGTCATTGTATGGGAGCAAAGATAGGAGAGTTTGGTGGCCTACTAGTAAGGGTATCTATACTGTTAAATTTGGGTACATGATAGGTAGGTAAAGATGCCACAGCTTAGTTAGAAGTCAGTTCTTTTGTCTCCCTTCATCCCAAGCTACGACATTCCATCTGGAATATGAGGGCAGTTTCTAAAGTCAAACATTTCTGGTGGAAAGCTTGCCAGAATATTCTTGCTACTCATGAAAATTTATATAAAAGGAGGTGTGTTGCAACGTCTATGTGCCAGATCTGTAAGTTAGCCCCAGAGTCAATTGAGCATACTCTATTTGAATGTGAATGTACCAAGAGGGTCTGATATGGTATTTATCTTCCTATATAGAGGGAAGACTCTGCCTTTATGTTTGTGACCCAAAGATCCTCAGCATTCCTACTGATGGTGAAAGAGGCACAAAGCAGACTAGTTTACTTGGGGAAATGGCCACAGTAGGTTGGATTATTTGGAAGGCAAGAAACTAGTTCATTTGTAACATGCAAGAGGTCAATTCCTATGCTACTATTCTTCGTGCTCAGGCAATGTAGAATGATCAACTTAGTTCTGGAGAAGAGAGGCCATCTGATAGATTACAGGGGGTGGAGGCGAGGGAAGTGAGACTATATGAGGATGAGGGTGGTTAGGGTCCCCCCCACCCGAGCTTACGGCTTTTCTGTTGGCTGATTGTAACCTCAATTTTCCTACTTAATATTATGATTATCCTGTTGGTTTTTGTTCAAAAAAAAAAAATAATGGTAGTGGTTCTTTCATTTGTGTAGTCTAGACCCTTTTTGTCACCAACATTCTTCCCTATAGACAACATTTTGTTCAATTTTTTTGAACCTAAGGAAAGTCTCTTGGTGAGCTCTTGTGACTCTTGAATGTCTATCAAGTTTTATTAATTTAAACTCAAGACTTTTCTTTGACTCTACAAGCCCATGACACTAACTTTCAACTAAGCTCAGCTTGTCTTTGAAGGACTTTTTATATTCCTTAGGCCCATAAACATGAGCTTTGGACTTCACCAAGTCCACATGGAGTGCTTTCTTATCATCTTCACTTGTTTTGAGCCTCATGCTCAACAAAAGTATCATTTTCCTTTGTTTAAAGCATTTTTCATATAATTGATTATATGCATCTTGGAGGTCCTTAATGCTCTCGGTCTCATCCTCACTCATAGAGACCTCGACGTTCAAGTCAGCCACCTCCTTGGTGGGACTTAAGAGTTCTTCTTCCAAGTCCTTTACCACAGTGGTAGGACTTGGTCTCTCTTCAACTTCACTCTGTGAAGTTTCTCCAGGGGGAGATGAGTATGAACTAGCAAAAGCCTTAAAATTCTCTTTATCCTCTTGAGAAGAAGAGTCCTCACTTGTGGTGGACTCACTTTTACTCTCGCTCACATTGGCCTTTATTGCCCTCCTCTTATCTTTGGGAAAATCTTTCTTCTTCCTATTTGGTTACTCCACAGTTATGTGTCCAAAACCTTGACACTCAAAATATTGGAAGACTTGCCCTTTCTTCTCAATCTCTTGTTAAGATGTTTTCCCCCCTTTTTTCTCTTCCCTTTTTAGGAGTTCTTGGCCTACTCAACTTACCCTTCGACCTAGAGGACTCAACACCACTTGCCTTGAAGTATTTTTTAAATTTTCTAGGAAGACAGGCTATGTCCTCTTCTCCTAATTGGAGTGACTCAAATTTATCTCCTTCTCTCGTTGAGCTCAAGGCTACCCCTTTCACTTTATTAGGTGGTAGGAGATTCATCTCGAATGTCAAAATTGACCCAACTTGGTTTTCCACCGACACTTCCTTCAAAGTGATGCTTGCTTCTAAGGTCATCAACTTAGTATGAAATCTTTACAACAAAGACCTCAAATAGATATTTAAAGAGTCAATATTCTACTGCGAAAGCTTTTTCTGTTTTGCTAAATTTGGGGCAATCCAAACCAAAATGCTAAAAGATAAAACAAAATAAAGATTCATTATAACGCAAAATTTGAAACTTTCATCCTCTTGCGTCCTCCAAGTCTCGAAATGAGAGGTTTACCTTTGGAGGTGAGATGTCTTCACCATTTGAGTCCCTTAATGGGAAACTTGCAAGATGTTCCATGTTTGTTTAGAGGTTTTGCAAGTAGCTATTCTCTAAAACTCGTTTGGTGTCATGACATTGAATATCGCATTCAAGCCTTTTGAGTTCCACCTAGACAGATCATACTCGGCTTCTGTCCAAGTATTTTGGGGTTTTAGTTCAACAACTGGCTCACCACTTTCAACAAGGGTACTGGCTGTCGGAGGGCTCCAACCCTCTAGCATGTACAACTATACTCGCTCANCTTGTTTCTTTAGAGGTTTTGCAAGTAGCTATTCTCTAAAACTCGTTTGGTGTCATGAAATTGAATATCGCATTCAAGCCTTTTGAGTTCCACCTAGACGGATCATACTCGGCTTCTGTCCAAGTATTTTGGGGTTTTAGTTCAACAACTGGCTCACCACTTTCAACAGGGGTACTGGCTGTCGGAGGGCTCCAACCCTCTAGCATGTACAACTATACTCGCTCATCAAGTGATTGAAGAAAAAACTCACATCCAAGCCTTCCAATAAGCATAATTTATCCCATAGAAAAGAAGTGGTCATGCTACTAAACCTCCATTAGAAACTAACTAGAAGTAATAATAGATCCCAAAAAACCAAAAACAAGGTAATGTAAGCAAATATGCAATGGATGCCTAACATAATCCTACACGGAGATCCACTCTAATACTAATTGAAAGGATAAATGATATCCTTCTACGGAATGGATCGTCTCTCACGATTACACACGTGACATGAGGACACTATCTAGAGGGGGTGTAGTTTCAATTTCCATTGAACACACACCAAATTATAACCTAATCTACCACAATTACCTATTTCTCAAAAATGAATTAATAAATTAAAATTTGTGAACCCCTTCACATGAACAACCATGAAACCCATGAAGATTAGGGTGGTAAATTTGTTGATTTTATCTATTAACAATCAATCTCTCACATCGATCCCTTCTGCACAAGGATATCATTTATCCTTAAAATATTAAAATGCTATGATTTTCAAATCCAAGACAGTTTCTGGGAAAGTCTTCTACCAAGGCAAGACTAAGAATGGGTTATATCCAATAAAAACCAAACCATCATAAGCAAATGTTCAAACTTCCACTCACAATGGCAAATTTTGGCAACAAAGTTTCTTAGAAAACTTGGCATGACAAATTGGGTCATTCCACTCATTCAATGGTTCAACACATTTTCACTACTTCAATTTTCATATTCTATCTAGGGTTCCACTCATAAACCCTTGTCTAAATAAGTGACATCTACTCACCACCGAAGTTCATCATTTTCCTACCACCAACCAAGACCAACAAATTCCATCTTCTCTCTAGTTCCTTGTTTCTATCGCTATCTCTGAATGGTAGAACCCAACTTTTCCTACTTCCAAAATCTATACTGCCTGTACCCATTAGTCCTTGTTATACAAAACCATAGCCTTGTTCTACCATATATCCTTCTAGTCTTCTGCCAATTCCAACCTAATCAACAAATACTTTTCCAAATCATTACTATCCATCCCCCTATAAAAGTTTGTACCAATAATCATCCTAAGCAAACCAAAAATCTTCCTGACAACGGACACATCTGGAAGGCCATCTGGAATTTCGGATAGGCTTCCAGAATGCTTCATGATCTTCCAGAGTGTTTTGGTGGTCTTCCGAATTTGCATCCAAATTCCGAATCTCCTTTGCGGTTGTCTGGTGTTGTGCATTGCTCTAAATTTCAAAGATGATTTTGACCCAAAAAATGTTCAAATCCGGCAACACCTATTTCAGACAAAGTGTAGCACTTGAAGTCTACTTTTCAAATCCTTTTGAATCATGTTATGTGCACATCAGAGTAAAAAAATTATGTATAAATGCACTACCTTCAACTTCCATGCCATTGTTCACCTCGAAGATTTTCAAATCTAAAAATTGTTATTTCACACAAACTTATAGACCTTGAAGTATTCTTGCCAACCCCATAAGAATCAACTTGATATGACATCTGAATAAAAATTTATGTTCACATTATCAAGACTGTGTCAAATTGACTGATATTAACATTTTTTCTCCTAGGCTTGTTTATTCCACTCCGTTGCATAATTCTTTCACTCTTTTTCTCAAGAAACATAATTATCTTCCTAGCTTGAACAAGAATTATATAAGTAAGATCATTAACACCTACATGTTCTCCACTTATAATGATCAAATCGATAAGGTTGTTGCTTAAACTTCTCATACTCATTCCATCTAATTTTTCTTATCTTCAATCAACCAATTTAACAATGTTCATTCTTTTCATTTCTTTGCATCTTCTATTATCCAATTGAGAATTTAACTCACGCACATCTTCTCTTTTGACTATTTGTATTCGATTTATCACATTACTCATTCAAGCTTTCTCTACAAACCAGTGCAATGTTTTACAACCAAACTCACAAGAAGATGATCAGTAATACAAGAATGTTTGTTATCATCAAAATCTTACTAAACCAATCATAGGGTCAACAAAGGAGAGGATGAAGAAAATGAATGATGAAAATGGAAGAAATAGATAGGGACGTCTCTAATAAGTTGATAAAGCTAGGAATGCTCCAAGCTCTAAATCCCTCGAAGATGTCTACTCTAACTATTAAGGAAAAAGGTGAGAATAATATGAATAAATGCATGTCTTAATGGATATCCTAGGTCCCCTGTACACTCCCTGAGGAGGAAAAATGATGTTTATTCCTATGAAAAAAGGAGGCGAATAGCCTTGAACAATCACAATCTCCATGTTTGTCCTCTCCTAAAACTGTTATCTAGTTTGGAGATCCCAAATAATTCGCATGTTGTCGGGTTAGTAAGTACCCATCGCCCACCAATAGTTTTCCTAGTGGAGACTAAAGTAAAACCTAGAAATGAGATGATTATATTATCTAGAGGGCTAACACTTTGGTGGAAGGAGGAAGTCGAATTGGAAATTGACATTATAAACAAAAATGAACAAGGCAATTTGTACCCTGGTAAATGACAATTCACTCTAATGCTCCGTTTGGTATGAAGGATGAAAAGTAAGAGAGATACACTTTCTATCCTTTAGGGTCCGGCTTATCTGCAGTTGGAAGGTTACAACATATCATGCGGTTTAGTAAAACGGCAGCGTTTCAAGTATTTTTTGCATTTTTTTTTAATATTCCTTACCAAAAATGATGTCATTTTTGTCCCTTGAAATCAACTTCAGACCCTTTCCTATCTTTCTCCTGCTTCTTCTTCGTCAAACTGGAGTCCCTTCTCCCGCCTTCTTCACAACTCAGTCTCCCTCTTCTTCTTTGTCAAGTGCAGCTCAAGATGGTGCAGTTACTGGGTTACCACAAATGAGTCAGACCCAAGAGAGAGAGAGTTTTCTTATTTGTGCCAATTTGCCTTAACTTGCAATATGGGTGTCTTCTTACCCTTTCTCTTCTTTACCATTTTTTTGTGTGAGCTCAAAACTTTGCATGTGATTTCAAGATTTGTAGTGTGTTAAAGGGCTTTGTCAGAAATGAGCGTGTGTTTAGCAATTCACGGACACAACTGGTAGTCCTTTTCCATGGTGGTTTTCCTTNAGGAGAGATACACTTTCTATCCTTTAGGGTCTGGCTTAGCTGCAGTTGGAAGGTTACAACATATCATGCGGTTTAGTAAAACGGCAGCGTTTCAAGTATTTTTTGCATTTTTTTTAATATTCCTTACCAAAAATGACGTCATTTTTGTCCCTTGAAATCAACTTCAGACCCTTTCCTATCTTTCTGCTGCTTCTTCTTCGTCAAACTGGAGTCTCTTCTCCCGCCTTCTTCACAACTCAGTCTCCCTCTTCTTCTTTGTCAAGTGCAGCTCAAGATGGTGCAGTTACTGGGTTACCATAAACGAGTCAGACCCAAGAGAGAGAGAGAGAGTTTTCTTATTTGTGCCAGTTTGCCTTAACTTGCAATATGGGTGTCTTCTTACCCTTTCTCTTCTTTACCATTTTTTTGTGTGAGCTCAAAACTTTGCGTGTGATTTCAAGATTTGTAGTGTGTTAAAGGGCTTTGTCAGAAATGAGCGTGTGTTTAGCAATTCNTTTTTGTGTGAGCTCAAAACTTTGCATGTGATTTCAAGATTTGTAGTGTGTTAAAGGGCTTTGTCAGAAATGAGCGTGTGTTTAGCAATTCACGGACACAACTGGTAGTCCTTTTCCATGGTGGTTTTCCTTTGCACTTCAGGATCAGGACACAATGGCGTTCACATACCTAACTTATTCTCGTAATCTGTGAGCTTCTCTTACCTAACTTACTTTTTCCTCTCTTTGAGTATTTATGTTCTACGTTTCTCTCAAACTTTTTTTTTTGCAAGATCGTACTTACTCTTTGATTCCATGTTCATAGTTCTTGTTTTTAAGGTAAGTTTAATGTAGGATTCACTTTATCTTTGGTCAATTGTGGTCTTACTTATTCACCTGATCTACTAGTCTGGGAATTGCTTGATTTTTCNATAAACGAGTCAGACCCAAGAGAGAGAGAGAGAGTTTTCTTATTTGTGCCAGTTTGCCTTAACTTGCAATATGGGTGTCTTCTTACCCTTTCTCTTCTTTACCATTTTTTTGTGTGAGCTCAAAACTTTGCGTGTGATTTCAAGATTTGTAGTGTGTTAAAGGGCTTTGTCAGAAATGAGCGTGTGTTTAGCAATTCACGGACACAACTGGTAGTCCTTTTCCATGGTGGTTTTCCTTTGCACTTCAGGATCAGGACACAATGGCGTTCACATACCTAACTTATTCTCGTAATCTGTGAGCTTCTCTTACCTAACTTACTTTTTCCTCTCTTTGAGTATTTATGTTCTACGTTTCTCTCAAACTTTTTTTTTTGCAAGATCGTACTTACTCTTTGATTCCATGTTCATAGTTCTTGTTTTTAAGGTAAGTTTAATGTAGGATTCACTTTATCTTTGGTCAATTGTGGTCTTACTTATTCACCTGATCTACTAGTCTGGGAATTGCTTGATTTTTCTTTTCTTTTGATCTTCCTTCTTGAAATTGCAAATTGTATCAACAAGATCTAACAAAATAAGTTGTACTGTTCTTTTGGTTGGGCCTTTGATCTTCTGTGCTTTTATGAGTTGTGACTTAGGAGCTGTGAGGTTGCTGAAATTTTGATTTGCTTTGGGTTATGTGGAAATTGTGATTCTCTTGTTGAGTTGAAATATAAATCTCATAATACAATTTATGTCGGATTTGATTAATATTCTTAAGAATTATGTAACCTTATGTACATGACATCTAGTTCCATCTATGAATGCAAGTAGTCATAGAAGATGTATTTAACATATTGTTTTTTGATCTTGTTTCTATTTTTGTGGTCAATNTGATGTACATGATATCTAGTTCCATCTATGAATGCAAGTAGTCATAGAAGATGTATTTAACATATTGTTNTTATGTACATGACATCTAGTTCCATCTATGAATGCAAGTAGTCATAGAAGATGTATTTAACATATTGTTTTTTGATCTTGTTTCTATTTTTGTGGTCAATATTGTTCTAGTTTGATTTTTATTTTTTTTGAATGTCATATTTATATTAGATGTTTCATTCACCACATAATGTCATTTCAATTAAATTTTTTATTGTAGGATACTATGATGGATGATTTGGGATTTAATGAGACTGAAAATATACCTCATATTGGTATGCAATTTGATGCGGAGGAAGATGCTTATGCGTCTTACAATAGTTATGGAGGGTCTATGGGATTTAGCGTAAGAAAATATTTTCAGAATAAAAGTTTGAAATATGGCATTGTCATTTATAGAAAATATGTTTGTTATAAACAAGGTCAAAGAGGTCGTGATAAAAGAGAGTGTCAAATAAGGAAGCCTCGAGNCCGAATAAAAGTTTGAAATATGGCATTGTCATTTATAGAAAATATGTTTGTTGTAAACAAGGTCAAAGAGGTCGTGATAAAAGAGAGTGTCAAATAAGGAAGCCTCGAGCAGAAACAATAACAAATTGCCAAGCTCATATGTGCATATTTCTTAATAGAGAAATTCGTAAATTTCTTGTGGTGAAGTGGGACGATAACCACAACCATACTTTATACCTGACTGAATGTATGCATATGATGTCATCCCAACGGAAGGTTACCGCAACATAAGACATTAATATTGATATGACAGCAGATTGTAGATTGTCACTTAAGGCTTCCTATGATCTTTTAAGTACTTAGTCTGAAGGAAAGGAAAGTATTGGTTTTACTTGTCAAGACCAAAAGAATTACTTCCGTGAAAGGAGGCAACNTGACTGAATGTATGCATATGATGTCATCCCAACGGAAGGTTACCGCAACATAAGACATTAATATTGATATGACAGCAGATTGTGGATTGTCACTTAAGGCTTCCTATGATTTTTTAAGTACTTAGTCTGAAGGAAAGGAAAGTATTGGTTTTACTTGTCAAGACCAAAAGAATTACTTCCGTGAAAGGAGGCAACGAGACTTGAGGTATGGTGAGGCGGGTTGTTTGTTGAAGTATTTTCAAATGAAAGTAGTGAAAAATCCATAACTCTATTATGGAGGGCAATTAGATGCGGAGGAGCATATTACTAATATTTTTTGGGCCGATCCAGTAATGATTATTGACTATGGCAACTTTGGAGATGTTGTCTCATTTGACACTACTTTCAGAACAAACAAGGAGTATCAACAATTTGCTTATTTTACTAGCTTCAAT